GGGCTGCTCGATCTCAGCATCGTCCAATGGAAGCACCATCTGCTCGACCGCGACTTGATTGGCAGGAAAGCCTGATCAATCACCGTATCGCGTTGCGGGAGCCCTGCTTGACCGCTTCAGTGCTATAACCTACGTTCGACCTCTGTTGTTTTCAGTGAACCTAAGCTCGACCGCGACTGTGTTCAGCGGTCCACGCTCGATCGCTGTCTTCTTCTTCAGCGGGAACCCACGCTCAATCGCCACCTTGTCTCGAAGCGGGAGCTCGCACTCGATCACTGTTCTCGTTTGTGCAAGTGAGATACGCTCGCGACCTCGCGAGGAAACGTCATCCAGCAACACAGCACATGTCATAAAGATAGGACCATCACTCGCTCTGTGCACAGCTTGCCTCGTGACTATTCTATCCACGATTGTGACGTGAGGTCAGTCTCTTGGAGCCACCAACAGGTGCGTGAAGACCTCACGTAAAATCTGAGAATTTTAAGCGACTTTAATATTTTCGTAAGTACTATATTATAATACTACTAATATTTGTCCTACAACTACTTCATGCTGTAGTGCTTACTGAAGTATTAAAGTCGCTTTATTTATCAACAGCTTACATGTATAATACTTCGAAGTAAAAACGAAAAGTCTTGACCTCTGGCCTTTTACTTAGATAATACCCTAAATACTACGATTTCATTGGTAAAAAAGCGGTCCAGGTCTACAATAGCATTTCCGTTTGCAAAGGCCCGGAGCTTGGGAGAGTGATAGAGAGAGGCGACGGGCATAAGGCAGTGCTGCATGAACTGTGAACTTTGATCTTATTGTGCCAAGGAACTGCCTGATGTCACTACAGATCGGTCGACTCCATTGTTTTACACTCGGATTTTTTTACGGACTGAAGATTAATTTTTAGTTTTCGCGAATCCTTCACAAGGCTGTGACCTGCAACTTGAGGGTGCTGTCCGTTGGGGCGAGCCAGATGTCAAGAAAAATCAAAAGTATGTGGGTGCTTATTTCCAAGACACACATGCCGTGCTTGTGTTCCTCTTTCTGGCGGCGCCTGCTCTTACCATACATCGGTTAACCTCACCGAGAACGTCGATGCCACTGCCGCAGTCCACCCACTGTAATTGATATCACGTTCTTGGTTTCTCTGGTTGCCACATCGTCAAGGACTTGATCGCCAACGACTTCAACGTGAGGAAGCGCAGCAGAAAGAACTTAAGTAAGGACTTCTCGGTCGTACTGGTCAAGGATACCGTATGAACGACTTCTCGTTCATCGTCCACAAGATACGCAAATTCGCCTCCATTTTTGCAGCTACCCCTATCATTTCATGCGTTTCGGAATCTCCACCTGACTCGTGTTGGTTGTCCATTCCAGTTTGTCGCTGTTTCAAAGGTCACGCTGCTCAAGAACTAAAGTTATCTAATGACTCGGGTCAGGACCCATAGAGCGGACAGCCGCCTGACACTCATTAAGTAGCTAGCCAACTCGCACTGGTGGTAGTTATCAATTTTCTAGAATGTCGTATTATCTTCCTAAATTTTATCTCATTTGTCTCAATATTGATGTATTGTAAGTGATTATATATCCAATCAGAAGTCTGGATTTTGTTAAGAAATACTTAGTACATGTATTGGCTGGCACGACAAAATTGTACTCTGAAGTACTTCGAAGTATGTTGCAAGTTGCAACTTGCAACTTAGTATATGGTTGTACTTTAGTGTTTATCTTTTTTGGTGGTTGACGAAGCGCAGTGCCAACAGACCCAAAATACGGAAGACAACGATGCATCCGATCACGACGCCAAAGTTGCGAGCGATCGTGTCGTGCTCCATGCCAAAGTACTCTTCCGTGTACTCTTTCACAGTAATGTGACCCACATCTGCCGGAGAATTCGCCATAGGCTGGCAGCCGAGATTCGAGCCAACGTTCTCGTACATCTGCGTCGTCGCATTCCACGTCGGCAACTCGTCGCAATCCGCGAAAACAAGCGCAACCATGACGGACAAGGGGAACTTCATCGGCGAGATCGTGTACAGCCACTTGTAGCCCGAGGGGATGGCGTACGCCGGAGGACTGAAGCCCATAAACAAGATGAAGACCGAATTCACCAAAACGCCGATAATAGCAGCCACTTCTTCGCTCGGAAGCGCGTAGGCGAACATCATGCCCATGTAGACTTGCATGAGGATCGAAAGCGACAAGATCAACCAGAACAAGACGGCGGGGACGAAGCCTTGGAATCCCACGAACGGGTAGAAGATCACAGTGAAGATCAGCGAACTCATGAAGCAGTAGGGAATCTCAGCCAGCGTCGAACCCACAAAGTACCAGAACGCATTATACGTCTGCGATGCACGTTCGCGGTAGAACGAGGCACGTTCCGAGCAAGAAAGCGGTAGGACACTCTGGAACGCCATCATGGAGTTGAATAGAGCAGCGATGAAAACCATCCCGACACCCGAATTTAATCCCGAATAGGACGCGTAGTCGGCACTTACGAAAATGAGTCCGAAAAGAACAGCCAAGATGACAGCCAAGAACATGCGCGTCAAGTTGTACGCAGACGTACGCCAGTACATCTGAATGTAACGCCGCACGACGAACTTCATCTGCGTCATCGAGTCGGCAGCACGCTTCTTGCCGAACACCATTTCAGGCAGGTCTGGAGACGGAATAGTAATACCCTCCTTGGCCATATTAGCCACCAACTGCTCGTTGTACGGACTGTTCTTGAAGTATTCCACAAAGTCGGTCTGGTTACCGGCGGTGTTACCGACACCGGCACCAATGCACTCAAGCATCCATGTAGCTGGGTTGTAGCCCTTGGGAAGAGGAACCACACCAGGGATGTTCTCGAAGTAGTCGATCAGGTTGCGGCAGTTCTTGCCCAGGTCACCAAAGAACACCGTTTCACCACCACGCTTGAGCAACAACAAACTGTCGAACAGGTAGAACACTTCGGACGAGGGCTGGTGGATCGTACAGATAATGGTACGGCCCGAGTCGGCCACTTTGCGAACACCATCCATGATCAGCTTAGCGGAGCGAGCGTCCAACCCACTCGTCGGTTCGTCCAGGAAAATCACACTCGGCTGAGCAGCAAGCTCTACGCCGATCGTCAGACGCTTCATCTGTTCCACTGAGCTGCCACGGATGATCTGGTCGGCGATGTCCTCCAGGCCGAGCAGCTCAATACATTCATTCACAGAGTCGAACTTCCTGGAGTCCGAGATCGAGGCGTCCTGACGCAGGAACGAGCTGAACGTCAACGCTTCACGGAAAGTAGAAGCCTCCGAGTGCACGTCCATCTGCTCGCAGTAACCAGTGCTACGACGGATAGCGAGATCGCTGGCTTCGTAGCCATTCAACAGGATCTTACCGGCGATCTTACCGCCAGTCTTACGGCCAGCAATCACATCCATCAAAGTAGTCTTACCAGCGCCCGACGATCCCATGAGAGCAGTGATCGATCCAGGGACAGCGAATCCGTTAATGCCCTTCAGCAGCTCAAGCTGCTCCTTCGGGTTGTGCGGATCCGGAACCCAGTAATGCAGATCCTGGAAGGCTACAGTCACCGGAGTGAAGTTCTTCTCACGTTCACCGACAGGTAGTTCCACAATGACGTCGCTCTTGTCGTCCTTGCTCTTGGGAGTCTTGACCAACATGTACGAGTCGTCTTCAACCATCTTTTCCGAAACATCGACATTCTCGGGAGCTTCGTAGCGCAGGAATTCCAGTGCCAGGAAGGTCAAGAACATGAAAACCACGTAGATGACTACACAGTAAATAATCCCATACGCGATCCACGATTTTTCGGTTTCAATTCCAAAAAGACCCAGATAGTATTCACCCATTGTGAGTCCGTCGTATTGGGTACAGTAGTCGATTCCGTTGTACACACACACGTCAAACTCGCTCGAGCGGTACTGGTTGATTGCAAGAGCTCGGAGACTCCAGCTGATGGGACTGAGCCAGTGCGCCCAGATAAGGTAGTCAGGGATTTGACTCTTGGTCACTACAAATCCAGCGAAAATGATGAAGATCAAGGTGGACACCATACCCAGAGGTGTCGCCACGTTGGCATTGGGACCCACAGAGGACAGGAAGAAGAACCACATGCCCATTGCCAGGTTCATGATGAACAAAACCACCTCGAAAATGATAAACTGGGCCGCATTCGCATTAAACCCACAGACCCAGTAGACCAACGTACCGAAAATCAGCGACTCGGCAATAGCCAGCGGGATCTGACTGACCGATGTGGCCAAGACGTACGAAGCTGTACGGAAGAAATTGGCGCCACGGTGTTTGTAGAAAATATCGCGCTCAGCCATATATGTCGGGATCTGGGACGATTGACCCATGGAGAGGAACAGAATCGCCGAGAAAATAACACCCATGACCACGGAGATTTGGGTTGGGTCAAATTGGTAAAAAGTCGTGCAGTACAAAAGACCCATCACTGTAATCATCGTCAGGCGTCCGAAAATAAACGGCTTGTTACGGTACGTGACCATGAGTTGACGACGCAGCAGCGTCAACGTGCTCTCCACGAAGCCTTGGTGGAACACAGGCATGGGTTTAATGTTCTCGCTCGCCACTTGCAGTAACTCAGGAGCGTGTGGAGCTTCCAGCGCGTTCAGCATCTCCTGGTGGATATCCGAGCGCTTGAAAACGTCGGCAAACTCACTGGCACGACGTGGCTGCTTGGTTGCAAAGTTCGGCACTTCATACCGGTGCTGCTCTGCAGTACCGAGATCCAACAAATAGTCGGCAATGTCACGCTCGGGCGGACATGAGAAGCCAAGTCTCTCAAAGTATTCCTGCACCTGGTCACAAGGACCGTGGTACATGAGTTCACCTTCGTTCAAGATCATGACGTCGTCGAACAAGGAGAAAACCTCGGGAGAAGGTTGCAACAACGCGATGACCACGTTCTTGTGGAGAGTGTGTGCAACGCTGCGCTGTGTGTTGATAATGTCATAAGTTGCAGCACTGTCGAGTCCAGTACTGATCTCGTCCATGAGTGACACATACTTCATGCCAAACTCCATCTCGCCAGTCGTCACACGTTTGCGTTCGCCACCGGAAACACCACGCAGCATCGCGTCACCAACGATAGTGTCCTGGCAATTCTGTAGTCCTAGCTGTTGGATCACGATCTCCGGGTAGTGGTTGAAGTAGGCTTTGGTGGCTTCCAGAGCCTCCAGGTTCTCCTTCTCCGAGCCCTTAGACAGCAGCTCTTCACCACGACGAATGAACTCACCGCCACTGAATTTGTGAGCGAACTCCAGTGTTTCTTTCACTGTCAATGTGGGAAAGTGTTTGTCACGCTGGTTCACGTACGACACGAGCTGCGGGAGCGTCTCGATCACTTCTTCGCGAGGCACGTTGTTAAAGGTGACATCACCTTCCACTGTGATGTTCTTCTCGATGGGGAACCGCCCACTCAACATCTTCATGAGTGCAGATTTACCCGAGCCAGGTTGGCCGAGCAACAGTGTGATCTTTCCCGGTTTAAACACGCCACTGATGTCTTTGAGGATCTCCTTGCGCACCGTGCGCTTCTTGGGTCCAACGAACATTTTCTTGAGGTCATTCGGGATGGTCGGCAGCTCGTGCTTGGAGCTATTGTCGTCTACCACCACGATATCGGCACTGAGCGACAAGTGCTTGAAGCGAATGTCCATTTGCGGCATGGTGTGGCCCAGTGCAGCCTCAATCTTGGTAGCCATGTGGTAATGCAGCTCGTGTGGACCGTGGGCCATCATAGATGCACCCGAGTCGTAGCTGAGCTGCTTGGGTTTATCTGCATTGGCGGTACTGGTAGTCCGCCCTTCCATCGTGGATCGAGTCGAGTGTTGGGAGTTGTAGTCGACTTGAGTCCTCGAAGGTAAAATGGAGAATGGTTCGAATGGAACTGGTCGGTTGTGCTCGACTGGAAAGTCCCGAAAACTGAAGTATCCGGAGACAGTTTGTGTCGTCTTGATTGGTTACCTACGTGGGGCTCATAATCGAGTGGATCGATGCTGGCAGTGATCGTGCCAAAAGGACTCGGAAGCTTGAAATTCTGTCGCATCATCGTTTGTTAACAAATTGGTTGCATCATTGTTGGGTGGTTAGGGATCCGGAATAATGCGTGCTTGGAGAGAAGATAACGAGATTCTTGGAACCGAGTCAACGAGTTTTACGCTTGCATAACTTGCCTTATGTAGCGAAGAGCACCAGACTGCGGCTATCTATGCTGCTGGGGCGCTCGGATGCAAGCTACTGTGTGTTTTCGATGATCGCAGTTTGTGTTTTTTTTTTTTTTCGTAAAATGGGTACATCGTGCTAAGTGGTTGTTCTGGGGAAATGTTGATGGCAAGGTGCGAGATGATCTGCACAGCCGGGACATTGATGATGGCATTGTAGTGACCATCACTCTGGCTGGAGGATTGCTTTACCGTTGCCAATGTTTGCTGGACACTGACACGTCGGACGGACGCTTGCCATCGCGTCACTCGGACCCCTGCGCATGACATCAGCCTCTTTGCTGTGTCGACCTCTTTCTCGACCGAGCTCCAGCGCTTTTAGTCTCGCCTTGGCTGCTTGTATGCCTTTGATGCGAGCCACAACAGGCTGTAGTTGCGACTAGCGAGTTCTGTGGCACCGCAGACGTCATCATAATGACCTACCTCGACAACAAGAAGCGTCTACATGCTGCTGGCTTCGACATACGCTACTGCAGCAGCACATGAATCGATGGATCAGGAGTCTTTTAAACCTCGAACGCCACGGAAGTGGGTGCTTGATTTTCACCGCTCGATGTATGTCTATCCCTATGGCTTGAGCACAGCAACATAAGTTCACAGCGCATTGATCATCAAAACCTGATGTAAATTGGTTCTTATCCCAGTCGATGCTTTCATTTGGTAAGCCTATTCGTCGTATTGAACACTACTTTGGCCAGCAAAGGCATCTTTTATCTCGAGCATCGCGTGAAGTCGTCCAGCAACTAGTCCTCGTAGGAATCGTGTCAATCTGAGGGAGTACAGTCTCGGACGAAGCGTTGAAGTAGACCCAACGGTTTTAGTCATTCACAACTCCGAAGATTCCATACGACGCGTTATATATTTCTCCTCACTCATGGCAATCACCACGTCCATCAGCAGTAAGAGTTCTACGTAGGCTTCGTGCGTGTCATTTCTCTCGGTCGTGACGGCAACAACTTTGATGTGGCTCCAACTTTCATAAACCACAGAATCGTCAACCTCCTCTGGAATTCGTTTGTCCAAAGCAAAAAGGCTTGTTCGCGACGATGTCCTCCCTGAGCATCACCAGACTTCGCGCAGCAAAGCGTGTACTGAGGATGGCATCTGCGATTCGGGTCGTTACGAAGGTCAACGACAGAGCCTTCCGCTGCAGTGATATCTCCAAGGACGGTAGGCACCATAGCCATAATCAGGGAAGTACTTCGAAAGTACTACCTGGGGCTTGTAGGCACTAATTGAATCGTTGTAATGATTTTTTTCATCCTCGTTGACCAAGTGACATCGGCTCGCCCAAGACTGTTCGGTGTCTGGGGTTTTCATTCTCCCTGATCGTGTTCATAAATGAAAAAAAAAATCTACTGAAGTATCCTTTTAGCGAGCTCTCATAGAGACAAAAACTATCTCTCAGGTTACTGAGTGGAGACTTGCGGCGACGAAGGATGGGGAAATGAATCTATCGCAGGATTGAGTTCACCAAAGTTCCCAGATGGGAATACGCGTCTTTTTGCAGAGCGCCTTGCCTTCTTTTTTTGCATCCATTCATCAAGTATTGCCCACTCTAGTATTTTATAATTTAATATATCCACGAAACGCATTTCAATTTCCACCAAAACCCTCCTGGTGTTAATAGCCCTTCAGAAAACATGCACGTGACTCATATTAACGGGCTATACTTGAGTTTTGTATGTGTTCCTCATAAGTTGCGAGCTAATCCTTATAGGCCTGTACGTAATACTTCGTAACCGAACCACTACCAGGAAAATGTCGAATAAGTATGTCTTATTTTTTCGCCAAATTGTATAAATTCCACAGGTATTGCTCTTTTTCACACGGTAACAAATAATAGAGACTTCGCGTTACCCACACAAAAAATAGTCATTTGTTTTTAAATAGTACAAGAAAAACGCAAGCTCAAACAAGTGAGGGGCATATATGACGCTGAAGATCCCTTATAGTATCGTAAGAGATCATGCACATGCACTCGACTCGTGTGGTACACGTACTGCATGGTAAATCAATGCTGAACTCACTTCACATGTCAGTTATACGCTTCCTGGACAACAATGTCGTGTGCAAGATTATAAAATGTAAGAAATAATAGCAATTTCACAAAATAGCCTATAGTAATTTTCGTTAACTTTTACTACATAAATTTTAGAACTAGTATTGGCAGGAGTTTGACATTTGACCAAATTACTATTAATATATTCATATCGTAGTAGGCTCAACCTGTAATGTAGTAGCAGCACCTTCTACGTAGTAGCATCAACTAATACAATCTAGTGCTAATTTATTAGCTCTCCACCTGTTGTGCTTAAAGGAACGAGATGTAGCTAGTCGGCATCGTCAGCTCTTTACAAGCACCTAGATTTCATGAAGGCCTCAGACAAACCACGCATGGGTTTGTCATGTTCCGTGGTCCATCAATCATTGAAATTCATCAGCACCGTTGTGTAGCTTGCTTGATACTGAGGATAGAAACGATATATGCAGTAGTACAGATATGCAATGCACTTTTAGAGAAGCTACTCCCTACGTTTCACCCAACTATTTCTTAAGAGCAACTTACAAACACTGGCAGACAGCTATATAGCAGCTTTAGCGTCTTCGAGCAACGTTGAGCAACTTAAGCTCACAGCCAAATCCCTCCTGGAGAAACAAGAAAATGCTCGGGCTTGGCTTAACGCGCGGAACATTAACTTCACACCAAGCTGCTGATAGTGTTGTCCTAGTCTCGTAGCGTTGCATGCTTCGCTTGATCTCCCCTGTGTTGCTTGCCCTTTTCATATCGTTAGTTAGTGAATGCAGCAGAGAAATGGCTTTGGTACGGTGTTTTATTTTTAATTAATTCTTAAAAGAATTCAGACCTTCGTTCAGATCGATGTATTTTAATAATTTACCCCAGAGAACACGCCGAAGAGCCTATCTCCCCTACAGCTCTACAGCTAGATGCTGAGATAAGCGCGTAGATGTATAAATGCGATGAGCTGCTATTTTCTGTGATTGAAATTGACCATAGGGATGGGTCCCCTCTTAGAAAGTTACTTATGAATGCAATTTATTTTGTTTCAATCAAGAGCAAATGAATGAACAAGCCACGCCTCTAGCATCGAGGACGGGTATACCAGGCCTCTATCTCTTCTGGTGGTTAACGAAGCGCAGAGCCAGCAGTCCCCACACTCTGAAGAGAGCAATGCAGCCAAGTACAATTCCGAAGTTCTGGGCGATTTCGTCGTACTTGAATCCATAGTATGACTCTGTGTACTGCTTCAACGTCGTGTGGCCGATCGTCGCCGGAGCGTTGGCCATCGGTTGGCAACCAAGATCCGAGCCGACGTTGATGTACGACTGAGTCGCTTCATCCCAAGTCGGCAGCGTCTCGCACTTGGTGAAGACCAGAGCCACCAGGATACACATGGGGAATTTCTGCGGCGAGATCGTGTACAGCCACTGGTAGCCTTGAGGAATGGAGGACGCCGGCGGGTTGTAGCCCATAAACATCATTAGCACGCTGTTGAACAGCATTCCTATGATCGACGCCACTTCCTCGGTCGGCATGGCGTACGTGAAGAACTGGCCAAGAGAAACTTGCATGAAGACGGTCAGCGAGATGGCCACCCAGAAGAGAACGCCGGTCATGAATTCCGTGAAACCGGCAAGAGGGTACAGGACGACGGTGAAGAGAAGGCCACTCGCAAAGCACCACGGGATCTCCACCAACGTCGCTCCAAGCCAGTACCAGAAGGCGTTGTATGTCTGAGATGCTCGCTCACGGTAGAACGATGGACGCTCCGAACTCGTAAGCGGAATCACACTGTTGAACGCCATCATGGACAGGAACAGCGCAGCCATGAACACCATGCCGACACCCGAGCTCAGACCAGCATATGAAGCGTAGTTCGGGTTGATGAAGACAATACCGAAGATCAGAGCCAGGAACAGCGACATGATCAGACGGGTGAGCGAATAGCTCGGGGTACGCCAGTACATCTGGAAGAAACGGGTCACCACGAACTTCATCTGCGTGGCTGAGTTAGCAGCACGCTTCTTGTCAAACAAAATTTCCGGTAGATCGGGCGAAGGAACCGTGATGCCTTCCTTGGCCATGTTCGCTTTAAGTTGTTCGCTGTACGAGCTCCTGTTGAAGTAGTCCACGAAGTCCATTTCGTCAGCAGCCGAGTTGTTCACACCAGCACCGATACACTCGAGCATCCACGTGGCCGGGTTATAGTTTTCTGGTAGCGGGGCCACGCCAGGGATTCCCTCAAAGTAGTCAATCAGGTTGCGGCACTTCTTGCCCAGGTTACCGTAGAACACCGTCTCGCCACCACGCTTGAGCAACAACAAACTGTCGAACAGGTAGAACACTTCGGACGACGGCTGGTGGATCGTACAGATAATGGTACGGCCCGAGTCGGCCACCTTGCGAACGCCGTCCATGATCAACTTAGCAGAGCGAGCGTCCAGGCCACTCGTCGGTTCGTCCAGGAAAATCACACTCGGCTGAGCAGCCAGCTCCACGCCGATCGTCAGACGCTTCATCTGTTCAACTGAGCTGCCACGGATGATCTGGTCAGCGATGTCTTCCAGGCCGAGCAGCTCGATGGCTTCGTTCACTGCGTCGTACTTTTTGGCATCCGAGATCGAGGCGTCTTGACGCAGGAAAGAGCTGAAGGTTAAAGCTTCACGAATGGTAGCAGCCTCCGAGTGCACGTCCATTTGCTCACAGTAGCCCGTGCAGCGACGAATAGCGAGGTCGGTCGCCTCGTAGCCGTTCAACAGGATCTTGCCGGTGATCTTGCCGCCAGTCTTACGGCCAGCAATCACATCCATCAAAGTAGTTTTACCGGCACCCGACGATCCCATGAGAGCAGTGATCGATCCAGGGACAGCGAATCCGTTGATGCCCTTCAGCAGCTCGAGCTGTTCTCCCTTCGGGTTCTTGGGATCAGGGACCCAGTAGTGCAGGTCTTGGAAGGCCACCGTCACCGGCGCAAAGTTTTTCTCTTGCGTGTTCACCTGAACCTCCACCACATCACTTTGAGTTGAGCTTTTAGGAGTTTGAAGCAGCGCGTACGAACCGTCATCCATTGACTTGTCCGACACGTCCACATTAGTCGGGGCTTCGTAGCGAAGATACTCGAGTGCGAGAACAGACAGGAACATGAACACAACGTAGATACCCGCTAGGAAGATGACGCCGTACCATACCCACTCCTTACCCGTGTCGAGACCGAACAGGTTCAGATAGTACTCGCCCATATTAAAACCGTAGTCCGTGCAGTAATCAATCGCGCCGTACACGCAGACGTCATAGGCACTGGATCGGTACTGGTTGATAGACAACGCCTTGATACTCCAGCTCATTGGACTGATCCAATGTGCCCAGATCAAATAGTCCGGGATCTCGTCCGTCGTCACGATAAACCCGGCAAAGATGATGAAGATCAAGATGGACATCATACACAGTGGGGTGGCGATGTTCTCGTGTGAACACACAGACGACAAGAAGAAGAACCACATGCCCATAGCCATGTTGGACAGCAGCAAGATCAACTCGAAGAGAATGAACAAACCGGCGTTAGCTGCGAAGCCGCACATCCAGTACACCAGCGTGCCGAAGATGACGGTCTCTGCTAATGACAACGGGATACCGGCGATGGAATTCGCGAGTACGTAAGACGACGTACGGTAGAAATTGGCTCCGCGTTGCTTGTAGAAGATGTCGCGGTTTGCCATGAATACTGGTAACTGAGACGACTGTCCCATGGACAGGAACATGACGCTGGAAAAGATAACACCAGTGACCACAGACACCTGTGTGGGGTCAAAGTCGTAGTAGATCGTGGAGAACAACAGTCCCATGACCAGAATCATCAACAGTCGACCGAAGATAAAGGCCTTGTTACGGTACGAGATCATGATCTCACGTCTGAACAAAGCCGCCGTGCTCTCGACAAACGACTGCTGGAACATGGGCATCGGGTCCATGTTCTCCTTAACTGTCCTCAGAAGCTCCGGATCGTGTGGAGCGCTCAACGCAGCGAGTGTTTCCTGGTACAATGCCGACTGACGGAAGCTGTCGCCGAATTCTTCGGGTAGACGTGGCGCCTTGGACCCTTGCTCCACCTCGTACCGGTATTGTTGACGAGTACCGAGATCGAGCAGGTAGTCGGCGATGTCGCGTTCAGGAGGACACTTGAAGCCCAGGTCTTCGAAGTACCCTTCCACCTTGTTGATTGGTCCGTGGTACATCAACTCGCCTTCATTCAGGATCATGACGTTATCGAACAAAGCGAAGATCTCCGGAGACGGTTGCAGGAGTGCGATCACCACCGTCTTGTTGAGCTTGTGGGCGATACTGCGCTGCGTCTTAATGATATCGAACGTCGCCGCACTGTCGAGACCCGTACTGATCTCATCCATGAGCGACACAAACTTCATACCGAACTCCATCTCGCCAGTCGTCACACGCTTCCGCTCGCCACCAGACACACCACGGATCATAGCGTCGCCGACGATCGTGTCTTGGCAATTCTTGAGTCCGAGCTGCTGGATGATGACATCCGGA